GTAGATAACATTTTAGGGATTGAACGTTTTAAAAACCTAAAAAATGAAAAAAATTACAATTTTGAAAGGTAAGGGTTCTGGTGAAACTATAGGCACAAAGGACTTATCACCTTCCCACGGTGACAGACGCAGTGACAGTGCTTCTCGGGTCTTTGCGATTAAAACTCTGAGTGGCATTGCAACCGTTAGACACTCGATTTGATCGTTCCGTCACTTGGTATTATAAAAAAATAAAACGTGGTTACATAGACACGAGTAACATTACACAATGCGCTGTCATTTTTATGTATATTTATACTGGATAAACTTGATATGAAAATAAGGCATGTGTATAATAAATAGTCCGAAGTTCAATCAAATTTTATGAGCGGTATGTATTAGCTACGGCTTTATACCTTTTCGAATCGTCTTTATCAATAGTACGCACGAAATAGTTTATAGCCTCGAAACTGCAAGACTTGGAATAGGCTTCCTCATGAAAGTATTTCCTTTGTACTATGTTCGCTTTGTAGCGTTATTTGAAAAATGAGTAAACATGGTTCCCCAAAACTAACAACACGTAACACATGGCAAGGTCAATCAAGCGTAGTGACACGTCCTCTAGTTTTACTTCCTTCTTTAAAAAGGCTGGACTGCGTAGTCAGAAGAATAAAAGGACTTGTATGAATGTATGTAAAGCAACTATCAGGATCGTGCAAAGTGGCAATCGATAATCTGCTTACTAAAGTCGTGATGTATGTGTATAATAATTATTATTACTTAATTGTTATTATAATTAACCAAAAGGCCGGCAGCTCCCTTGCCCAACGCATTAGCATAACCATACAAAGGGTGAACGCTGCCAGTTTCTTGGGCACCTTGCCGCGGGGACCCAATTTTATTAGTTTCTAGTATTTGAGCTTTTATTGTATCTTACCTGTACGTTATCAAAATAAAAAATATAGTACATTATTCGCTAACACACTTTCTAACTGCATGATTATTGTATTTTCAGATAACTATGGCAAGTGATAGCCTATAGTCGGAAAAAAAGGTGTTCCACATATATAGAAACATGCATAGACAGGCACCAAATATTAATTAATTACTTTTTCGAATTCCGGAAATTGTTTTAGTGTATCGTAGGACAAACTATTGACCTAGGGAGTCGGAGTTATGTTTGAAAGTATTTCTAATAGTGCCTTGTAAAAAAAATTTAACAGCTCTTTGTGACCTATATATGTAGAACACCTTTTTCCGACCACGTTTGTGCTTCCACAAAATCACGAATCAATAGCTGATTATGTCAGCTGGTCAATGGAATTATGCCCTCTAGTCGGAAGAAACATTTATGCATCACTGCACAAAAAGTGCGCTTGTTGTTGTCTTGGCTAATTAGTCACAACTAAATAAAAATGTTGTTAACCTCTCCTCGTAAACGGTTAACGTGGGGATATATTTACGTTGCGCCGGCGTCCCACATCTCGCTTCCTTTACTAATAAAATATTACTGTTTCGCCCGAAATGCTGCTCATTCCTTCCAACTGCAATTACATGCTTATTACCAAGTCAATGGAGATCTGGTCATGCCAGAAATCCAGATAATTAGCTCAATTTTCTGGATAGTTTAATTACCTATATATTCTGCGTACATAATCTGGAGTAGATACGAGCAACAGACCATTATATTTTTAATCGACTTCAAAAAAAGGAGGAGTTACACATTCGGCAGTATATATTATATATGTTTTCAGATATCTTCGTCAATTGCGGACCGATTTTGAAAATACTTATTTTGTTTGAAAGGATCTCTCGAGGTGGTCCCTGATGCTACTACAGCTAATTATTTTCCGCAATTATAAGCCGACTTTTCACTTGACACAATACGTGTAATCATCAAATCAGCGTTACATCACAACCAGAAAAAAGTATCAATTGTGCGAAGGAGTCCGTAACAGTCCCATTGTCACCAAGAAGTCTGAGGGGATCCAACGAAAAAAAACTGTTGATGTCGGTTTTTTGTTTTTCCAACAAAAAGTTACAATTAAGTATATGTTTGTTAGGGTGTTCTGTTTACTACCGACAATTTATTTTTTTACTCAGGTACTTATAGTGCCTAGAATTTCCTAGTTTGAGACCAAATAACAAGTGTCATGCTCTCTTCTGTTTGTGGTTCTTTTAATAATAATATATTTATTTTCTCCACAAACATAACAATTTTGTACATGCACAGAAGCATATAATAAAATATATACCACATTACAATGTTTGAAAGAGACTGGTACCAAAGCTAAGCATAAGCTTGCCTGGTATAGAATACCAGGTGTCTCACCACGGAGAATTGTTAATTTAAATGGTTTTATGTAACAGTTATAATATTAGTTAGTTTTTTCTTATAATACCAAGCGGCACGGGACGAATAACCACGACTTATTCGCCTGATTTCCTTGCTCTTCAAAACCGAAACACTTTACTGCTTGGCGGCAGAAATAGGTAAGTTGGCAGTACTACCCAGGACGAACTCTTTCACAAGGAGCTCTATTCCTCCTATACCATGTTGTTGTGTTGTTGCAAAAAAGTTTTGGAGATGTGCTCGACATCTTCCGATCCCTACAGCCGCGTTGAAACTTGGGAACAGAGACGCCGTTCATGCGGCGTCGGGAAGTGAGCTTGGCTTACAGCTCCGCCACCAATGAGGAGATTTGGTAGTAGACTTAGACTTGGCGGCTTAGCGGTCGCAATCGTTAGTCGTGCAGAGCGCGACGGGAAGTGAGCGTGCCTACAGCTCCGGTACTTATCTGGAAAATAGAGAGGGTGCTGTACGTGCACCCGGGGCGGCTCACCCGAGGCACTAGCCTTACAGAGAACCGGATGTAGTCCTTGCAAACGGGCTGATGCGAGGTTAGGACCTGATTGAGATGGTCCCTTGGCGCCCTTCCCGCATAACCAAGAGGTTGATAGGGAGGGTCACTATAAACAAAATTTGTGGAGAAAGATACGGGACTGTTGCAAAGAAGTAAATAAATAAATAAATAAATAAATAAATATAGTAGTATAACAATGAAACATGTAATTTCTAATTGAGATTTGTAATCTTTTGTTAGCTTATTAAATATAAGAATGTAATATTAAGATGCAATTAAGGAGAACGTGCAGCACCCGGACAAACCAATGTAGGTTTAAGGGTGTGATGTATATATATTTTTGTAATATTCTTAGTGTTTAAAATAAATAAATAAATAAATAAATAATAAATAAGTACCGTAACTTTGATTTACAACGATATTTTTGTACAGTACGTGTCTTAAATGTTTCTTTATTATACATATAGATTTCATTATTAGATCAGATTATTATACATATAGATGGACAAGTACTTATTACACTTGAAATTTGACTCGTACTTAGTAGCTTCTGCATTTAGAAATTGAGAACATATGGCGAGCACGTGATGACGAGCCATTCATGAGTGGTGTAGTGTGAAACGTATCAGCGTAGTTATAGTAGTTTATTTTAAGAAAGTTGTGGGCTTTTAGAATACCAATAAACTACGTTCTCTTATATAAGTCCTAAGTCACTTGGGAAGTCTGTCTCCTGTCTTGTTGTTTGTCTCTGCTGTGCTTCTTCGTGGGCCTTGAATATCGTTTGTATGTTTGCATTTTTATGGTACGATTATCTTTATTATTTATTTTAAAATTAATAACGAATTTATATATTCATGTCACCTACATTTAATATCTTATATTAAAATGTCACATTGTCATTTTGTAAAAAGGTTCATAATTTGTTTTTTTTTTATGAGTTAATAACATTGACGTTAATGGTTAATAAAGATAGATAAAAATCTAGAAAATAAGTTACTCAATTAATTTGTCATTATAAAATATAGGAAATGAAACTGTTTTTCCGTATATTTGTATTCTCAAACAAACCGACGTTTCGGGCCCTTTACAGGTCTAATGGTCACGGTTGACTGAGGTGGTTGAAGACTGTACTACCTCAGTCAACCGTTCAAAATCGGAACGCAGTACCTAATGCTCGCATTACTGCTTTAAGACAGAAATGGGGAAGGTGGCAGTCTGTCCCTGAACAAACTCTTCCACAAAGAGCTACACTGCAACTACCTTCTTTTTTTGCTGGATACATTGCTAATTACTTAAGCTCTTATAATCAAATTGACCTACCATATACAATCGCTTAATTTAATTGTTGTTACTGCATAGAAAAAGAAAAGAGAGACGAGAGAGAGACAAGAAGACAGCAGTATTTTCAGCAAGGGAATTGGCGATGGGCAGCTTGTGTCGCCAAATAAAACAGTCTGGCGTTTTGTGTGGGGAAAATTAGCTGCCGGATAAAATCGTTAGGCGCTTTGTTTGTGCTAAATTGAGCATTGGTAGGTCAGTGAAATTGAGTGAACTATCTACCTACTGCTAGTTTCAGATCGCATAATTAGTGTGGTTGCCTTCGTTGTCTATTGCGTTGTAACTCTGCTTGTTTAGCATGGCGCAGTCGCGGTTCCTATATAGTGTTTCTTAACCTATGCTCCATGGATCCCTAAACGGGCTTGACGGCCATTTGTTATTGGAGCGATCGAGACGCTCGTGAATGCAACCCGCGAGCCTTTCTTCTTCATATTTTCAAAAAGGGAACCCTGTGCTCTTTGCAATTTAGAGAGGGGTGCATTAACAACCTCCCAGGACTCTTTAGCAACAACGTAAACAACTATTGTTCCACAACTTTTTACAAAACAATAAATTTTACAAAAAAAACTTTTAAGTTTTTGTCGTACAAGCCTCCTCTTGTGTCAAGTCTTGCACAGAATTTATTGCCTACCGTTTAGAGCGATTTATTTAAATCTATGTGTTTTTGTAACAAAAGTTGTTGTGTAAGATATTAGTAATATATTCCTGAGAGGTTGTTAGTATTTTAAAAATAACCCTGTATAAACTCGACCGCGAGCGTATGACAGATCTGGTCAGTTTATGAAACCGCGGGAAAGAGGGAAAATAAAACACTTTAGGTACAATAACTAATAAAACATCTAATGCTTATGGGCATTCGCGTCAGGTGGTGGCAGATGAAGGCTCGCAGCCAACTCCTGCGGAACGTCCAAGTAGGTGCGCTCCAGGCCCACCGTGAGGATCAGTGCGCGAAGCCGATCCACTTCCACGGCGTCGCCCTCGCTGGACCATACGGTCATAGAGGAGTTGAGCGAAGTAGTTTCGCGCAGCAGGTCCAGGATAACTGGCTGGCTGTTGCAGGCTAGGCCAGCTCGGACCTGGGGATTTTATACGATTCATTTCAAAGTTTGGCACGGTTTTAAGCCACTTGTAATCGGAAGCCAGGGTCCTCTTTATGCCGCCAGTTCCTTAATACACACATGTTGATCAATGACATGAGAAGTTAACGGGCCATAAAAATACTGATCCAGACAATATAAACGGGTGTGTCGGGTTGACATTGCAGTACTTACAGGGAACGTGACAGTCTGGTTAATATGATACTCGTTAATCATCCTGAGCATTGTTCCGATCTGGTCGCGGCTGTATTCCCCCTCTGTGACGTTCCCCCCGTAGCTGGTGGTCCATCCGATTGAGAGGACCGTGCGAGGATGTTTAGCGCCGAGAGTGAGGAACTTCACGGGATCTACTGGCTTGGTTGTGGCCTTCACTGGTCCTGGTAGGATGTCTGCGTTTAGCCAGACGGGGTATGTTATCTGCAAAAGATTATTTATAAATATCAGTGTGGAAAGGGTATCATTTTAAAGATTTATGCTTGACATCTCTCTGTCAAATTGTGTCTGTCTGAATATCTTGGAGGATCGTGAGGGGAGGCTACTAAATTTAGTAATTACTAGGTTAGTGGTGGTTAATAAAACAAGTCCCCTAAATACAATACTGGTCCTTCTCATATTTTCAATCCAAAATTGTTAAATAAATACAGACTTCTTGACCGGTATTCGGTTGGTAGATCATACAGTCGATAACGATACCCGGAAGCGACGCGGGCGGCGCACGCGCATCTGTGCGCCTTGGGGTGCGTGCTCATTGTCAAACTCGGACTCGTACATCGCCAAATTAACGATTGTCGACTCGTGCTACTTTTGCTTCTTTAGAAAATGCTATCTACTAATGTCGGAATTGGGATCATAAACCTCGGTTTATGGCTGAGTTTAGACGTTTTTCTGATTCAGTTGCAATATGCAATAAAGGAAGTCGCAATATTCATATTTAATCATAATAATAATAACGTACACACTCAACATAGCCCCGCACTACGGAAACCCTGTGTCGCGGGTGCCATGGACACACACATAACACACACAAATTACACCCAAACTCACGAGAGAAATAAATGGACCTCTGCGTGGCAGTCCGACATGTTAACCGTTCAGCCACAGAGGCAGTTTATTATATTATATTACTAGATTTATTCACAATGTACATATTTTTGGTTACATTGACGAAGATTATTTTGGTTCGGTCCGATGCATGTGGGCTATAGACCACGCTTTGCACGATGTTCGTTCGTTATTCGTTCATGTAGACACGCCCTAGCAAGATGGCTGGACTTTCTTTGACGTGTTTGTTTTATTCAATTTGAGGATGGTATAATTACGTATGGTTTTTGCTTTGCGTTTATTTAATAAGCAATTTCGTTTTGCTTACGGCGGATTCGTCATAGTTAATATAATAAGGCCGTATGGTCTTACAACTTAATTGTCAAAATTTTGGTTATGTACTAACTTTTGTGTGTGTATTTTTTATACATGTAGCATATTTATATTCTACATAATAAATTTACCAAAAATAAACTTTTAAAATTATGTTAATAAGGGGTTTGTGGCAAAAACTCGAAACCGAGATAATAATGTTTAAAGAAATTAAATGAAAAAATATCTGCTGTTTCCAAACGGAAAAACGTAGACACTTTCTGCAAACGCAGTAAGATAAACCTACATTATACGCAAAACGTAGAATTAAAATAACGTACTATATATGCTTCATTATTACTTTAATTATTACCCTTTTTCATTTACAGTATTTAGGGTAAAATGGCCGCAAGTAACTTGGCATAATTACAACACTATTGTTAACGTTAGTGTAATAATAAGATGAGAGATCAGTATGTGGTTACAATGTCTTTTCAAAGTCGTAGCTTGACATTTTTAAGATTTAATTTTTTAAGTGAAAGATAAGATTTCCACTTTAATTTAAATTTATGTGAGCATTGTGTAACCGTCACTCGGGAAATTAACATTTTTCTGTAATTGAGGAAGATTTAGAAAGTTAGATGTGACTTGCGCCTTTTCACTTACTTCAATGATTGAAATGTGCAGTTAAAACGAAATGACGTATATATACAATTACGCCTTTTTACCAATTTGTTTTGTAAATGAGTCCATTTAACTTAGTTCGGCCATAAAGTATGGGTAATTACGCCCTTTTCTCTTACGGTAACTTCATACCTAATCCACCTAGGAAAAAAATAAAAATAGTGGTAGATTAGTCTTTTTTGTTGGTGACGGCAGTACATGTAACTTATTTTTTTAAAAGTGTCACATGGCGTCCTCGCCGATGAGCCCTATCCCCGGTCCCGCATTTTGTATGGGACTGGTATTTACGGTAGCGCTTTCTTTTGTTACCTCTTCTGTCTACCTCTATTTAAATGTTCACTCACAATCTTATTCATTGTTTATTTAGATTCATTAGGATTCCAACAATATTTTGATATTCAAAACGCTTCTGCAGCCACGAATCGCCCGCAGTTAATTTCCCTCGTTCCCTTGAAGATGCCGCCCGACCACACAAGTACCTCGCTTGCTCGTAAAATAAACAATTCACACGGTGTGTCACGCTTTAATTTAGATGTCTGTCTACTGTTTTAAGGTTGAGTAGCCAAATTATTCAAATACCAGACTCGACTGTATAGTGATAAACGACACCAGATGTACACACGGCGGGCATTCGATTCCAGCTTTACTGTAACCGCTGCGCAAAATGCTCGATTTTTGGACCATCGACAAGTGTGATCAGATAAAATGGAGTAAATGAGTAAGCAACAGACGATCGACAATGTATTTTATGTCGATTGCCATTTTGGAATTTAAATTAGTCGTGCCTAACAAGTTTCAAGTCAAAAATCGAGCAAATCTATGGGCTCCTTAAGGCTAATACATTTTTGGTGCTTTTCTGGAAAGACAATTCTTGTTGTTGCAAGTTTTTGTAATTACGTTTAATAAAAATGAAACAGCTACGGAACCTGAAATCCTCAGCCCAACACGTCCCGAACCAGTTTTATTTTTTATTGTGAAATTTATTGGAGAAACACTTCGAACAGAAGCTATAATAAACTTTAAACGATTGTGACTAAAGTTTAGATTCTAATAGCAACAGAGAACGACATTGCATTCGTGTGGGCCATTTTTTGTCTTAATTTTTAATTGACCAAATGGTGTCGGCAGAGACTCAAGACCGATTAGCTAAACAAGCTGGTGTCATGAGTCACTAATTGACATTAATAACGAACGCTTCTGCACAAATGGTTCGTTGCAAATTTTGAATAAGTTATTCCGTAGTGTTCCGAAGGGTTACATTAAAAGCTTAATGTCGTATTTAATCGTCGATGTTTACTCAAGCGGGAATAGATGACTTTTTGCTGTGATGCAAAACAAGATCGCGTCACTACTCTCTAGAATGCATTCTAGTCCTAACAGCATCCTGCAAACGTTTGCGCCAATTGCAATGCTTCGTCATTTCATCCAGGTTCTGGTGAGGTAATGGGGTAGTCGGCGCGCTTCGAGCGTAATAATGTGTGTTTTTATGTTTTGTCTCTGTATTTACTAATAATAGACATAAGTTAAAATTGTCTGTATTTACTAACAAGTGGGCCTTGGATGCCAAATAAATGATTTATTTAGTTATTATTAAAATTAAATTCTAGAATTAGGGACACATAAAATTAATGAATTTGAATCCCAGCAGTAGGTAATCTAAAACTCCGCTAACACGTATGGTGAGTTAAGGAAGCTACCTACTTTTTTCCAATCTTGACAAAACACTCAAGATCGCATCTGATTAGCAATAACACAGGCCCTGGTAATTAATTAAGTTAAGGCCACTGCGCCCGTCACCCCGATACATAACTTGACGAGTACCATGTCCCTGTAATTTCACCAGCACCCGAACACAGTAATGCTGACATTACATTAGCGATTGTCTAAGTCGTACTTGAATTCATCCTTCATTAACAACTTTTTAATATCAGGGTAGGAACCAAGAAGCATTATACGAACCTTATTTATGTGTAGATAGGTATTACTACTCACCTCTGGGCCACTATATTTCTTAATCAAATCCTGGCTCTTCTCAAAAGCCTCGATACTCTTAAAGTCTAACTTGACTCCCTTCTGTTTCTGCCTGTTCACGTTGTTATACTGGTGCACAGAGGACAGGAACTCCTCTAGGCTGATGTCGGAGGTAGTCGCGGGAGGGTGAGCCATGATAGGGATACTATGGCCTTCTTTCCCTTTGAGAGTGCCGATGACTATGTCCGCCTCTAACATTGAAACATCGCCTAGAAATCGTAAATTTTATTTTGAGATTACAAAGAACCCCATATTGCAAGAAGAGGGAAATGATTAAGTTAGCAGTATTTCCCGATGAATTAGATTGAAGTAATAGTGAACCCGCCAATTTTAGTAAATCTCTGTTTTTTAGGGAAGCATATAGTCACGAATAGCCGGAAAACATCCAACGCTTAACCACGATGTAGCCTAAGCCTGCCTAATAGAAGTGGTAACGTTTGCTCCAGAGCCGCCTGCGCCTAACCCCTCCCTGGAGCTTTCACCAAGTCCCAGTATCGCCCGGTTGAAAAGCATATACATTTCCATAAAAACCACGATAAAACTATAGTACTGCTGGGTCGCTAAAGGAATCTTGAATTACTGAAATTGTATTCGTAGAAACTCCAACTCGCGAGTCTCACAACGTGGCAAGTGGCGCGTGTCAGTGGGATTGTTATTAATCGCCGTTGTTCTAGGAATGTGTGCACCGGCAGCTGCAAGCTATTTCTGCGCGGGCGCGGATTCGGGAATGAGCTTTGAGATGCCAATTATTATTATCTTATATTTACTAATGACAATGTTCCTACACTTATGTCATCCTACGCAACGTAAGATAGTTTGTTTTTTATCTAACTAATTAGATATAATTACGTGTAGAGCATAATCTAACATTACAAAAGTTGAATTTGACACACTCTATCATCAACGCGAGTTGAATGGGAAATACAACATTTAACTTTTACCCCACGAAGAAATATCATAACCGACGAAACTTTAACTCACACAAACCGAGAAATAGAACGAAAAAGCGACTTTAAATTATAATTCAAGTCAGTATAAATTTATAATTTCTGAGTTTGGCACAGTTTTGCTGAACCGAGTTCCTGCAGTAGTAAATTGTTACTTTACTTAAAAACTCATTTATATACCCGTCAGGGGTCAAGAACGTTTTATCTGCTTCGATGCTTTATTGATAAAAAATAAAGATGGATAAGATACAAACACCCCGTTCGTATTCTATTAATCCAAAAATCGTTGCAACTCAGATCGTCGTTAGTTCTGAGACTGTGTTATACTTACTAGCTAAAGCAGCTTCAAGACAGGCCTTGGTGTTAACAGCGTGCGCCCAACTAATTGTCGTTAGGTTTCGCATGATTTCGTCGCTCTTCACTGCCGTGGCTGCAACAAATCATAAATAAGTTATGTACAGGTACCAAACACCCCGCACGTATTTCTCTACCGACCACAGCTCTCTTCCAAACAGGGTATTAAGGACATAAGTTCGCCATTAAGTCCACCACTTCATGTATTTTGCCTATCTACTCATAGATGTACAAATTTTCTCATGCTTGACAACATTTTAGCTCATAACTTTGTACAGCCTGGTTGGAGATTCGCCACGGTCAATGGCCACATCAAAAATATATTAATATTATCAATAAAAGTCCTACCATAACATAAATCTATTTTAAAACTACTAAAACCTACACTAATTCGGTAAATTTTGAAATTTGATTATGGCAACACTGTTTCCTACGTCAGTCGAACAATGAAAGATCTGAAATAGTTGATTATGTTTATCGCATAATCTTTGCACAAACTGTTTTTAAACTATGACTAATGCAGAATTGTTAACTTGGTGTGTTAATTAACCTATTTACTTACTTGCAATCGGTTTAGACTTCTCTAAACAACTTAAATAAAAAGAGTAAAAAGTTGTTGTTGAAACTGTTGTGACATATAGGTGACCGTCAAAGATTTTGCACCCAGATGTGGCGCTACTTGTCGAACAATTGAAACAACATTCTATTGATGTTGTTCATGTCAGTCATTTGGCCACACGCAAATAATTACTTTGTAACAAGTGAATGTTTCGTCGATTTAGATGCGCAAATGTTTCTTGACATACAGCCAATTTGTAGAAACCGATTAATTAGTTTTAAGCGAAACAAATATGTTTGTAATAATATTGCACTTCGTTTAAAAACGGCAATGAGGCAATATTCTCATTTATAGTCGGGAGATATAGATTTTTAATTGCTCGAAAATTGGTTTCGAAGCTGGCTATTCAGATCAAGGCAGAATAAACAGTGTTTGAAGTATTTAACGGCGCGAACCCGACACGCGTGCGCATTGCTTTGAAGTTTTAATAATTCTGAATTCAAATTGCGGTCGTCATTAGCCTAGTTATAATTTGACTTCTTGATATTAGATTTCTCTTGGGACTTTGAAAATTACGTTAAACTCATTGGACTAGAGAAATAATAAAGGAAACATATTCATACTTAATAAATTGAATAGCTTCTCTGTTCCGTTGGGTCTTCAAGATTATAAAACTAAAGCATTGAATATCACCCGCTATAAGAATGAGGAAAACCGCATAGCGGAAAGGGTTCACAAAAACTCTCTGTAAAAATATCGATATCTATATATAGATCTATACCTATATTTGCGTTTGATGAAATCCGTACTCAGTAGTGGTATACTACGTACTGTACAGTAAAACGCACACTGCATGCATGCGCTTATTACATGTACATCCTAGACAGGAGGTAGGTACATTCATTTGCCAGGGACAAAGCATCACGTGTCGCTTCAATAACAAACTGACGTCACGACCTGCGCCCGCGCACAATCGCCAGACAGGATGGCGGGACGTCTTGCCTGCTTCCGGCTCTTGTATTATACAGGCAATCTGTGCAAAACATCTGGATCACTCGGGTAATCCATTTCCTCCTACAGTCTTGAACCTAAATTTCTTGATGTGTGTGTGTGTGCTATCTTTGTGTGTATCTCCTCTAAAAATGTCAAGTTTCGCGTTATACTTAATAGTTTTGGCCCTAAAATGCTTCCTTGAGGTTCTAGGTCTATTGTGTATTATTAAAACAGTAATCTGCCAATGCTACCAAGTTGTTATTGGTTTAATATCCTATGCCTTACCCAAATGAAATATTAATCTGTCGGTATTATTTCTAGAAACAATTGATCTTTGCTTGTGACTGTATCCAGGAATCGTGAATTTGCATAGGCATTTGACTTGCCTTGATTAAGTTTTTATTAAATGACACGATGTTCCACCACCATGATATTCATTTTTAATTTGGGAAATTACTCCACTAGTTTGTTATAATTATTAATACAAAGATCGAACGCTTAGAAAAAATTCCCTCGATCCGGCTGGATTTGAACCAGTTTCTAGTAAACCGTGCTAGATGCTATGCCAACTAAGCCACGGAACGGATCTTTCGAATTTTTGTATGTGCTTGTTGCACGTCTTTGTTTGTTGGTTTTTAACGACTGTCGATTGAATAAATGTAATTAAGTTTTATTCAATGCCAGATATTAAATGATTTCACTTCAATTCTTTTCTTTTTGTTTTCAAACTCAAACTATTATGTGTATTATTTTTTATTAAGTCTATGAAAATGTATGCTGCCAGAACATTGATTTGGAGAACTTACGATAAGATAAGCTTTAGAGTGTATGTAATAAGATTACGCGGAAATGCCTGCAATGACTCAAGTACACGATACACTTGAGTCCATATGAACAGGTCTAAAGAGATATTACTTTGAGTCCGTCTTCTGCCATAATGAAGTCCAGAAGTGGCAAGATTTGAATAAATATATTGGAACAGATATTACTTATTGATGGTTTGTAACCAACTTCAAATTAGGAGGTTCTCAATTCGGCTGTCTTTCTTTTTTTTGTGTATATTACGCGATAATTTGTGAACCAATTTTGATGATCCTTTTTTTTGGAAAGAGGGTTCCTCAATATTGGTCCCATTTAAATTTAAAGAAAATATTCCACTTCTAAGGATGGCAAATTAGGTGATGAATCCATATTTGCGCACTTTCCGGTAACCGATTTGATCTGATTCCACGAACTTTTGAGGTCGGTTTGCTTAATATTCTGTACTGAAATTATTAATTTGTTTTTATCAAATTAATAATCATTTGGGATCAAAAAAAAAGTTTTTTTTTGCATTTTCTCATTATTGTTCTGCTGAGAACGAAACTGGTTTAGCCTGATGACATTATCATACGTAGATTAAGTAAAAATTTTTTATGTTATAATTGTATTAATATATACAAACTTCATGTTTTAAAACTATAAGTTAGACCACCTGACCACCCTCATGAGTGATTTAATTTAGGAACATGTCTCACAAACTAAACATGCGTAATTTAATATGTATCTATATAGTTTACAAGTACTGTGAATATATTTGACTCATTTAGGTTATCAAAACTAATAAGTATACATGTGTTGTAAATATACGCGTCAGTGTATACATTTCATGTTAACGTCATATAAATAATTGGACCATATCCGTTTGTAAATAATGAATAAATAATACTCAAAGATGGGAATGATGAATACACAAAGGGCCTGTTACCAGGCGAGAGTGAATAGGCTTCAAGACAAGTGCTGGCCAGTATTAAGATTATACAGCCAGATTGTCTATAACTAATTTCAAAAAAGGATGGAAAGCATGCCGAATTTGGACACGTAAGGCGGTATAATTAACACGTTTAATAGCAGTAGAGCTCCTTGTGAAAGAGATCGTCCAGGGAAGTACTGCCACTTTCCTTATTTCACCCCCAAGCAGTAATGTGAGCATTACTGCGTTCCGGTTTTGCAGGGAAAGGGTGCTGGTGAAATTATAAGCACGCAGGACTTGTCAACTTATGTCTCAGGGTGACTGGCGCAGTGGCAGCCCCTTAAGATCTTTGCTATTTAAAGCTCTGAGTGGTACTGCAACTGTTATGGACAGGCGTGTCGCTTGATACCAGGCGCACGACTTGTTCGCCCCGTCACTTAGTTTTTTTTTTAATTGAACTTTAAATTTATAATTAGTTTAATGCAAATAGAAAATATTGTAATAATTATACGTATTACATAAGTATAAGAAGACAACAAAACATCGACATTTTCTGCCTTTTACAATGCAGTGTCCCCTGGAGCATCGTGTTTAGGAGGCTGAAAAGGTTAACCCTTTGGGTAGCTAAGTTTCATGGGATATAAAAATATTAATATGTTTTTTGAAACAACCCAACGTTTCCAGCTGTTTATAGGACCTACGGTCCTTATTTCGCACCCCTCATGGAAGAATGGCATAAGTTGCGTCATAAATGTTTATTGCTTCATTAGATACAGAAAAATATAACCCATATTCTTTTGAAATCGACTAATATTGTCGATAGAATGACAAGAATTGGAGAGGATGTGGGTCATATTTTTCTGTATCCAATGAAGCAATAAAAATTTTTGACGTAACTTCACTTATGCCATTCTTCCACGAGGAGTGTGATTTCTTGACTGACTTAAAAAAGGAGGAGGTTTTCAATTCGACTGTATTTTTTATGAGTAAATTAGGTACATTGTATGCAACCTGCATGCAGGTGTGCTAATGTTAACGGTATTTCCCATTTGTCTCTACTATTACAAATCAATTTGCATGTCGAATTAATATCAATTGATATTAATAACTACTTACGAAATATTCTTTATTACTTTAAAATCAATGTGTCAAAAGCCATTTTGTCAATTGTGATTTAAAAGTAAGTCCTTGTAGTGATTTAATTACATTTGATAAATTATAAAAAAAATCTTATAAATATATGAAGCAGTTATTCTTATAAACGAGGTTGTGTCAATTTCTTTTCATTTTAAATAATATTTGATGTCACATATACACAGATCACATAACAAGTCAAATAATATATTTTTAAATAGTTTAAGGGTAAGTCTCGTTGCAGGCAAAGCATTATATGTCTTTATGGACATATTATAGCTATAGGTTCGGATGTCGAGTTAAAAAAGTACATACTTCACGTTTCCTAGTAAATAGGGCCAATTTTTTTTTAACAAACATGCATACTTCAAATACATACATAGCGAGAAGCGTTAGAATTTTCAGCTTTTTAACTTTGGTAAATCAAAAATAAAGTACTTAGTTAACTTAATCATTTTTGCAATTACGGTTCAAAATAAGTTTGTTTGCATTAATGTTAAACATAACTGATTGATGACTCAATAAATGTCCAGGACCTGCAAGGATCCCGAAAAATTCATTTGTTTGAAGAAACTAATTAATGTACGGGATTAAAATCTTTCAAAATAGTTTTTGTTTCAATGTGTAACAATCTCGGAAATCTAAGAACTCGATAATTAAGTATAATATTCAGCAGAAATACATATCAAAGGTGTTTCCGGAGACATCAGCAATACATTTTTTTATTTAATTTTTATTGAATTGATATTCAATTTTGATTTTGTGAAATGACTATAATAAATGACACTAGTTTGTTATAATTATTAATACAAAGATCGAACACTCGGAAAAAACACTCAGAAAAAATTCCTTCGAGCCGGTCGGATTCGAACCGACGTCTTCTTCGTAGTTGTTCTGAGTGTTCGATCTTTGTATCAATAATTATAACAAACTAGTGGAGTAATTTCACAAAAAATAATTGAATATCAATTCAATAAAAATTTAATTAATACAGTGAAGAGCGACATCTCTCGCCAGAACTGGTAGCTGTAAAGGTACTAACTGGGTGATAAATCTGTTAAAGATTTCTCATTGATGGCGTTACGACTAAAAAGTCGTTGAAAGACCAAGTACAAAGACACGACGCAAGCACATAGAAGAATTCGTGAGGTCCGTTGGTTCGTTCCGTGGCTTAGTTGGTATAGCGTCTGGCACGGTATGCAAGAAGACGTCGGTTCGAATCCGACCGGATCGAAGGAATTTTTTCTGAGTGTTTTTTCTGAGTGTTCGATCTTTGTATTAATAATTAATACATTTTTTTTAAAAAAACCTACATCACTTACATATGGTTTGAAGAGTAAAATGGAGTGTGCTGTTATATGTAGATAAGTACTACATACATACAGGAGAGGAAGGAAGAGACAGCGGAACGCAACTATATCCTGACACAACTCTCGAACCTCACATACATCAACTACCCTTTTCATACAATTTCTTTTCTTCTTGTCACTTCGGATCCAGCCTTTTTGAGGACATCACTGATCTGGTCAATGTAAATACTTTTGGGACGTCCTCTCAAAACGCTTCCATCCACATTCGCATCATAAATCTGTCTGGTAATTCTACTCGCATCCATCCGTTCTACATGCCCACAAGAGATAACATATCTATATCCTCCTAGATATCTGTCGCAAATACAAATGATTTATATATTTATGTATCTGTTAACATTGACAGCAGGTTCTGAAAAATTTATCAGCCAATATAAATATTTGATGCAGTCTGTGTATGGGACTAAACGGGAGAAGCATTATGTGCACCGAAGATGATGTCCTAATTTTGCTAAACTAATTGTAGTAAGTATGTTCTGGGCAGTTCTAGTGCCTTCGGAGGGTCGTTACTGTGGTGAATATTTATGGTACAGGAAATTTGGAGCTTAACCGTCTGACTTAACAACTAATCTGATTCTAACATGATTCATTTCACATTGCACTTTGAATGTCAGACTGTCTTTCAAGCTAACTGGTTTGACGGGAATTAAGCGTACCTATATAAAAATGTTCAAACCCAATCGTAAAAGTAGCATCAAGAACATTTTCAAATAATTAATTATTCAGTTCATTAATTGAGATTAAGGTAGGCAGACAACAAAAGCATGTTCAAATGTTATTTCATAGATAAGTGTAATCGTGTAATCGTGATTTTAGGAAAACCACTCATTCGTAAGGCATATTCCCCTGAGAAGAACCAATAAGAATCTCTAGGGATAGCTCTTTGAAACTGCTCGACCATACCATTACTTTCTCCCATTAGAAAAAATCCTAGATTCTATTATTTTTTCTTGATGTGGCATTTTTTTTAAGTTTAATGTTATTTGCCAAAGACAAATTATGATTTCCCGTCGTGTAAAATTCAAATAAATATCATAAATCTTACTTACCAGTTAAAAAAACCAGCACAAACAACCGGAACATGATCGCAGTTTCGTTTGACTATTAAAAAAACAGAAGATATTTTATTAAAAAGAAACTATATCATAGTGTACTTTGTGGAGGCGACAGAACAGTCTCGGTGCGAATGGACCAGTAGATCTCCACTAGATACCTGGTGATTGCTCAATTGTCCAATTCCAGGTTACTGATTGAAATGAATAGCAATTTGACGCAAGGACTGCCGTTTGCACTGCGCATTGTAGTCCAATTTGTTGTAACATAGACACAGCCACTTGATCGCTGAATATCTAGATTTTTTATCTAAACATTTATCTTCCTATGTAGAGGATACAATATATCTCTGAGAGAGATACACTGCAATACTATATTTTGTATGAGAAGCAATGAAGTTAATCATTTTTGTATTTGCAAATACTAGATTAAAATAACAAGATAAATGAGAATCCATGAAAAGATAGTTGCGAGATTAGGAATAACATAGTCTATGTCACTTTTAATAATAGTAGACCTCATTGTAAATAGCTCATTCAGAGAAGTGCTGCCACCTTACTGCGTTCCGTTTTAAAGGGTAAGGGTGTCGGTAAACTACAGGTACGTCGGACTTGCCGACATACTTCTCTGTCTCTTTGAGTTCTGTGTGGCACTGCAATTGTTATAGGGATTTGTCGCTTACCACAAGCTTTTTTAAATTTGACAGACGCTACGTTCGTACGCCTGGTGGTAAGCGACATGCTTGTCGGTACAGTTGCAGTGGCACTCAGAACTTTAAATCGCAAAGATCCGAGGGGCACTGCCACCGCGCCCGTCACCCTGAAACATAAATTGACAAGTCCGATGTGACAGTGATTTCACCAACACCCGTACGTTTCAAAACCGGAACACAGCAATGTGGGCATTACTGTCAGAAATAGGTGAGATGGTAGTACTTTCTCAGACGATCTCTTTTACAAGGAGCTCTACTGCTGCGAAAGGTGTACGACTTGGTCGTGCCATCATAAAATATCTTTAAAAAAAGCCTCTACCTACCCCAGTGCTTGAAAGGCATGATAGTATGCGTTGAAAAATGCTAATGACGAGGCTTACAGTTTACATATTTATTCCCCAGAGATGTGATACAAACGGTAGAAGTTTCTTCAGTCACACGATAGAGGCATATCTAAATCACAAAGACATTGCAGAAATATCGTATGGCGTTCAATGGCTGGCATAGGCAACTCTTCTGGTGTTACAAATGTCCATGGACGACAAAGATCATCTCATATCAGGGAGGAGTCTGCTTGTTTAAGCGTGAAACACATAGAGAACGGGTGCGTGTCGGGTGCGTGTCAGGTCGGGAGCACGGCAGGAGTAATTCCGTGTATTTACTCGTATATGGACGACAACACGCCACGTGCGGCCGCGGAACCCGAAGTGTTCCCGTCCCGCGCCCTCGCATGGTGTGTTGTCGTCCATAATTAAATCCACGGAACTGCACCCGTCGTGCTTCCGACCCGACACGCACCCGACCCGCACCCGCTGTCAGTGTGTTTCACTCTCTTTATTACGTAAAAGCGGAACAATGACAACGTTTTGTTTTTTCATAAAATATAAGTAAGCATTTGACCTCCATCTCACCTGATGGAAAGTGACGATGAGGTCGACGATGGAGCATGCACACCTAAATAATGCCTATCCACTCTCGCCTTAAAAAGACCCAAGTTATAACGTTCAGGGAGCAAGTCTGCAGGCAGGGAATTCCAATCCATAGCCGTTGGCTATATAAATGTGGAAGCGTAACGCTTCGTGCGAATCTTTGGAATATCCACAACATAAGGGTGGAACCCAAGTCTACGCCTAAGCCCCCGATGATAGAAAGGGAAAGGCGGAATTAAATCGTGTAATTCCATCGCACACTCTTCGTGATATGTCCTGTAAAGTACCTATAAGCAGGCAACTTTACGGCGGTGTTCAAGGCTCTGCAGATTCGCCTCCACTAATTCCGAGTCACCTATAAACCTCTTGACACGGTTGTCAATTGAATCCAAAGTGGCCAGTTGATATGTAGCAGAGCCATCCCAAAGGTAGCAGCAGTACTCCATGCACGATCGGACTTGTGCTTGGTACAGCTGAAGCAACTGTTCCGGTATAAAGTAACGCCTCACCCTGGAAAGGATCCCAAGCTTCCTTGCTGCATTTTTGGCCATGGATTCAATGTATCTGCCGAAGTTCAAATTGGATGACAGGTAGCTGGAAACAGTCGGCTATCGGTATGGATATATACGTACGAAAAGTCGGAGTCAGTTCAAAGGGACTCCGTTTTGTGGAGAATAGACCCGACTGCATTTTGGTAGCGTTAAATTTGACAAGATTGGCATTGCCCCAATCGGAGACTGCCTGGAGTGCCAAATCTAAACGGCTAACCATGAACTCTCGACAAGACTGGATTTCCTCTCCACTGACCCTTGCATTGGTCAAGTACCTATCTACAACTGTGCTGTCATCAGTATAAGCAAAGGTACCTGGAATTAACATATCATTGATATACAGCAGAAAGAGAGTTGCAGACAGTACGGAACCCTGAGGAACTCTATCTATCTATCGCCATATGTTCGGAAGAATAGCCTTCTAAGACCACTCGAATCGAACGTTCGCTCAAGAAAACCGAGATCCAATTGCAAAGGTCAGTGGGAAGCCCATAAGAGGGAAGCTTACTTAATAGGCTTGCGTGCCAGACCCTGTCAAAGGCTTTAGAAATGTCCAAAGACACTGCAAGTGCTTCGCCTTGCTATTCTATAGCCTCGCTCCATATGCGACAGGCAAACACAAGAAGATCCCCAGTAGATCATCCTCGTCGATCAATCCGTACTGGCGATCACTGAGCAGGTCTTTGTCTTCAAGGTACGATAGGAGACGGTTGTTGAGTACACGTTCCATAGTCTTGCAGAGTATGGAAGTGACTGAGATAGGTCTATAGTTGACAGGGTCAGCTCTACTTCCCTTTTTTGGCACAGGTTGCACGTTTGCAAGCTTCCATGACCTAGGAACTACACCAGTCTCAAGTGAGAGGCCGTACAGGCGTGTGAGAACAGGAGACAACTTTTTGCACAGTTACGCGGAACTATTACTGGAATTCCATCAGGCCCAGGCATCATCATCAGGCAGCTTTATTCACGTCTAGATTTCGCAGAGTTCTAAGTACCTCTTTTTGGCGTATGCGAACTGGCGCCATAGTGCGGCCAGCCTGTGGTAAAGTAGGTGATAAGGTCTTTAAATTTATCACTAATATAATCTTTGAGGCCCGAGTGTACCCTGCGACGTTATAAATGGTACTTTGTTTGCTGTGCCCATTGTATTAGTGGCTGGTCTTATGCAAATATTAATAATTAAGACAAATTGTTTTTCTCAGTGGAACCTGCCTTCCATTTAGGATATTGATACGTCCGGTATATTCATACCAGGCAATTACTCCAATTTCCTGGTCACAAATTAGAGAATTCCCGTATTATGTGTACCATTGTCTCTGTGTCGCAGTCCAGAATTCTAGTGTAGATACACAATGTTCAAATTTTTTTAAAGTTTGTTCCCCAAATTAGCCCTATAGGGAATTCAACTCGAGGTCTTCGTCATCTAATACCCACATTGCTGAACCTCCTAATTCGTCAATGTGTAATTTGTTTAGTTTTTAACGATTCTATTCTAATGCTATTCGGCAGCTAAATTCTGAAACATCGAACTTCGTTTTTGGATAAACGCCATTTTTTTACTCTTCAAGCGCAATATCGGGCAATTAAAGCGTAAAATATATTTGTAGACTTTCTTTTAGTTATCAAATAAAGATATAATCATAGATTGTCTTATATTGTTTCCAGTAAGTCTGTGTTTTGTGCCAACTGGAGGTCATGAGGTTTACAAATGTCGCCGATTGTTAGCGAATGTGCCATCATTAATTTATGTTATTTTGTTAGAAAACTTACTTAGCTTTAATAAGAATGTTTTATCGAAATAAAAAATAAATCGATATCGTCATCAAGTCATCATCAAGGGCGGCCACCATTACGAAAAACATCTTTGACTAGAAAAGACGTGGTGTTGTTTTGCTTGGATTTTTATTGAAAGATATAATATAATTTATAAAAGTCACTGGAGTCTCATTTCTAAGTCCACTAGGAAAATCCCACACGACGATGTAGGTTACCTTGATTTTTAAAGATTCTCAGTGATTTTTTTCGATTTCCTTTGTAATTCTCCATCAGTTCTTCCATCAATTTGTACAGAAAGTCTTTCAAACTTTATGTATTATTTTGAAACAGTCACACAACAAAAACTTTTACTAGTATCTACGAGTATTATATTATCTGTACTTTAAATTATAATAATGTCATCGTAAGAAGTCGCGGTAATTGTGTGTTATAAATAAAAACGGTTTATATACTTACACAAGAATGACATTTACGACACTTTAAAAATAACAACATTATCTATTTACTAGATTTAACTGTGTACACCACGTAACGAATGCGTTTAACACTATTTAAATAACGGCGGTCAATGCAAATATGGTTCTCCACGCGTTAATAGACAGACAGTAATCTATTTGAATAATTAATATTACGTCTAGAATGTATTGTCCTGGAGTGGAAAATTCTTTCCTCCTTTTTCTAGTATTATTACCTGATACATAAGAATGTTAACAACTATTTTACATTAACGGTAAAAGTAAACATTCATTGTGGAAGCCTGCATTTCAAAGAAAGCACCCTTTATAACAAAGGGACGCACTCGTAATTCGTAAACTAAATTTGGGGAAGTAATGAAATTGACATAATTTTATTAATACAAAGATTCAGAAAAGTTCTTATGATCCGGCTGGATTAAAACCAAAAACAAAAGTTCTGCAACTTAAAGTCCGCTAGTTCGTTCTGTGGTTTAATTGGCATGGCGTCTGACAAGGTTTTCTGGAAAACGTTGGTATTCCAGCCGGATCAAATGGATTTTTTTCTAAGTATGCTAACAGATCGATTGCATGCAGTTAATGCGTGAAGGCGTTATCAACTTCATGCAGTCGAGGTCTCTACTCATATATACATGTGTGACTTGCCTGGTGCCAATAATTGCAAAATTCTATTAGGCACGAGGGGCAACTGGGGCAACTGAAAAGTAATCTAATCTAATCTAATCTACCTAAGTATGAAATAAATACAACTACGGCTACTTTTTTTTTTGATATCCCTGTAAGAGAAATGCACTTACCTACTGTATTACCTACTGTGTTAACTATATTATACTGTGTTATATAGTACTTACTAATTTTTAAACATTTTTCTTTTTCTTCTAACACGTCCTTACAAAACGAAACGCAATAAACATACGAGAGCCTCTAATTTTGAAAAAAAAGAACTAATAATTATTTTTAAATTGAAAATAGACTAAAGAAATTATCTATGTATAATAATGTGCAGATAAACACACTGATTGCCTGGTCTCAAACTAGGGAATTCCTGTTTTATGACTACCAGAGCAACGAAATTCACTTTGGGGCACTTCCCAGAACATCCAAGCCAGAACTCATTTAGAAAAGTCGAACCCGGGACCTCCTCATCCTGTGGAGTGCTTTCCACCAAGATCTTCAGATATGAAAAACCATGTGTTATTAATTACAATGTATTATTTCGTACGCCATTTTTTATGTGATAAACTATGGCATAAAACCCTTCCAGCAGTAAAACGTATATAGGTTGAATTTAATAAAACAAACATAAGTTAATGAAAATATCGCTCTATTTTTCTACATTTCCACTTTTTATTCGTATACGCGCACTATAAGTTTCCGGAATGAATAACAAACAAAATACTTTAAATGATCAGAAATGAATTTATCGTTTCTCAAAATATTCTCCGTTAGCGTTAATGCACTTTTTCATACGCATGAACCAATTTTTAAAACATTTATGCCACTCTTCCGTGACAATCTCTGAAACATATTTTTTATACTCTTCGACAGCCCCTTCAGGTGATGAAAATCGTTGACCGCGTAACTGGTTCTTAATTTTTGAAAATAAATAAGAGTCACAAGGTGCCAGATCGGGACTGTGCGCGGGATGGCTCATAAGGTCAACGTTGTTCACCTTCAAAAATTCATTTGCCTGTCTGGCCGTGTGAGAACTGGCATTATCGTGGTGCAAGATGATACGGCGTTTACGGTTATTTTTACGGAGTTTGTCAATAACTTCCGGCAAACAAATGGTCGTGTAACAATCACTGTTCACGGTACAACGATTCTCCAAAGCAACAGTAAGCACGTGTCCAGTTTTATTAAAAAAAGAAGCAATCATCCGCTTAGAGGCACTTTGCACGCGCGCCACTTTGGTTGGTTTCGGCTCATCTCGAAAGACGCTCGATTGCTGCTTTGTTTTGGGATCGTAACTATAAAACCATGTTTCGTCTCGAAATTTGACGCTCCTTCGTTGAATCTGGTAAGCATGGCATTGCACCAAGAGACGCGATCCGTTTTTTGAGCCTCAGTCAGATTGTGTGGGATCCACCGAGAACACAACTTTTTCACACCCAAATGTTTGTGTAGTATTGATTGTATTTTACTCATGCTAAAGATGCCCGAATCCTATGGTATGTCACATGCCTGTCTGTTTTGATCATACGGCGTACAGCATCGATCTTTTTGTTGTTCACAGCAGTGGACGGATGACAATCACGAAATTCGTCAATGAGATTCACACGACCGCGTTTGAATTCTGCAAACCAGCTGTGAATAGTCGTCTTACATGGTGCTTCATCGCCAAAAGCAGTTTGCTGAAGCTCCGCTGAGCAGTTAGATTACACTTAAACTCGGAGAAAATCATACTACGAAAATTTTCACGAACTAAATCCATGGTGATGTAGACAACCAATTTCTAAAAGGACGCCACAATGTAAAAACAAGTGACAGTCAAAAGAAACAAACTGTACTCTAAAGCCAAAGAGTTCCATTTTCAAACGTTGTAATTACTTTTTAAATATTGTTTATGTAAGTGGCCAGTTCCGGAAACTTACAGTGCGCCCTATGTACTAATGTACATTTTAATCATATTTAATTTATACATTCAATCAAACTTCCCATATTGACAATCGGATGCAAAAGTGTATATCTTAATAACATATTTTTTTCTCTGACATGTTCGGAAATGGTCCATCTTGTTGTGAAAAACACGCAATAATAAGTCTTGATTTTTGCCACACTACAAAATCAAAAACAAATTACTTTCCGGCCTATTCCGTAAAATTCTCTTGCAACAGAAAAACCCAAGTGAAAGACTCGTGAACTAGGAGTGCTCGATATATATCGATATTTAAAAAAATATCGATATATGACCTCGATATATCAAATATATCAAAAATCTATATATTTTATCCAATAAATGAAAAATCGTACAAAGTTGAAAGTACGCAATTCCAAATTTTACTTGCGACAGTGTAACGTAGGTAGTGGTTATATTCTCATTGGCTAGCCGCGCATATACACAATAAAATGCTTGTGTGAGGGTGATATTATTGTGTAGGGAGCATACATAAACTTGGATTGTCAATAATATTGTATGAGTGCGGTTAGCCGTTGATCAGAGCTGTCGGAAATAAAATGGCATGCTGTCTTTAGTAAAGACATTATTCTTTCGTTGTATTTTTAAAGGATTTTTAAAGGATATGGGTAGGCAACTTTAATATATTTTGCCTGACAAGAGGGGCCATCTGTGATCAACGCCGTCGTTCGGTGGGTATTGGTTCCCGCTCCAACAATCGGGGCAGTGTTGGCGTTTTAGTGACTTGTCGCTTGATCCAATGAATTTTAATAATGTTTACGTTACGTTTACATAGAACGTCAGCTCGTTTGAAAAAAAACAAATATATGCAATTTAGTAATCTAAATCGCTTGTATTATAAAAGTAATTGAAGAAATACTTGATTATTGTGTCAAAACTGGTGATTTTACTTATTTCCTGTTAATAAAATTTCCTTCCTTTTATCTTTTAACTGCCTCTGTGGCCGAACGGTTACCATGCCGGACTGCCACGCAGAGGTCCCAGGTTCGATTCCCGGGCCGAGAGAAACATTTGTATGGCTAACAATTATTTCTCTCGTGAGTTTGGGTGTAATTTGTGGTTGTCCATGGCACCCGCGACACAGGGTTTCCCTAGTGCGGGGCTAAGTTGAGTGTGTGCGTTATTTATTTATTTATTTTAGAATTATTTACGATATATCGAAAATACCGATTTTTTTTTGTACCGATATATCGCAAAATATTGGTATATCACATCGGAAGAAATTTCAATATTTTTTTACATGAACACCACTATCGTGAACCTTTTTTTTCCACTAAAGAATGGAAAAAAAATTGTATAAAAATATTTTTTTTATCGCGAAATTAAACTTTTAACTTCGAAGTGACAAACGAAAAATGTCATCGAGCCCAGTCGTGCGTTCACTTTGTTAATTGATAAGTTAGAAAAAATATTCTATAATAAGTGATATTATACTTATGCTTTTTAGCAACTTATTTTTTGTAAGCTTAAGTATTTGTATTCTTTCTTTGCTTAAAATGAGAAAAGCTTAATACTAGAGTCGGTAGAAAGAGATGAATCGTATTACAGAAGCATTCGTCTGCTGTTTGTGCTTCTAACTCATGCTTGTCCCGATTTTTTTTTATTAGGAACAAATACAGAATCACATACTTATTATTATAGGATTTAGATAATAACTGTAGCTTTTAATGTCCGTTCCCGAATAAAAAGTACGTACGTACAATTAAACGTTAAGATACGTTAGAGAATAGATGTGAATGTGTTCGCTATATATTTTTATGCACCAGTTCAAAAGTAATAAGTTTAGTTCTATCTAAGTTAATAGTAAGGAAGCAAGGTCTTTGTGTTAGAACAGGCTCTATTCTAGGTATTGCCATGGACAATTACGGCAATGTCATCAGCCTATATAATTTGAGTGTTTATTAACGTCTGTTTGCACAAGTCATTAATATAGATTAAGAATAAAGTAGGTCGAAGAACGCTACCCTGTGGAACACCATATGAGAGAGAGAAAGAGAGAGAGCTCCATCTCCAGACAGTGGCATAAAATATCATGAACCTTCACACACGGCCACTGATCCCTTATGTATTTAGCTCTTGAACGTATTCAGTAGTTGTTTGTACTTTTTGATGATTTGACGGGAGACTGTATCGGAACCTTTGCATAGATCTATGAATATGCTTATCAATTTGGTTTGCACATTTAAATATGTGTGTTGCTCTCTTCCGTGACCTTGGCAATGGAGTACATAATTATATTTCTTAGAATGCTATGAACACTTTTTGGTTATCGGTTTCACCATTTTGGTCCAATTTCTGTTTATAAATTTATATTATTTGAAAAGTAGTAGTAGGTTCGTAGTTAATTCTTCTTAGTATTATAAATTGTTAGCTACCATAATTACAAATAAAAGATGTTGAACGACAAAGTTGCTTTTTTATTAGCCAACAAATTTGAACTGGTGGTCGTTGTTTTTGGGAAGGAATGTGGCAAACATATCTTTCAGCCTGTTCGACCTTTACAACACAAGCATTCAAACAAATTTAATAATATACTAAATTGAAAAAATGTAATTGTCATGTGAAATATGATAATCAAATGATCATTGTAAAATATTTAATCAATATTTTTAATTCTAACAAGCGTTGAATGGTACTGATAATTTAATACGTTATTATCAATGATTCTATATAAAAAAATTGTGTAAAATCATTGACTCCAGTTCAATTCGCCATTGTTTCAAGTATTCTTGTATAAAATACAAAGTGGTCATAATACAGTTGTTGTAACTCACAGCCCTGCTAATATCTCTAATAATCTAAAATCTTACATACAAATAGAGTATTTAGAGATTACAACTAAGATTCGTAACGTTATTGCTGCTTAAAACACTTTATACATTATACCAAAACGCCTGAACAAAATATTACAGCAAACGCACACACTATCTTAGTTTGATATTTTTTTTTAGCAGGCGCTCTACTCATTTGGAAAACTCATATCACAGACTATAAATTACAATAAATGTCTAATGCATTAAAATAATCTTAAATCTCTAATATTCATACACTAAAATATATTCAGAGAATGTGGAATGTACGATATAAAAATCTATTTACAAATAGTCATGGTTATCCTACATAGAAATTTAAAAAAATAAGTATAAAATCTTAAACCTTGAAATGTACAATTACATTATGTACAATATGGCATTGGTTTACTGGGATAACAATTGGTTATTTGCTAGAATACTAATTTGCAAATTTTGCATTCGTTGTGATTATCAGTTATTATAAATATTACATTACATAACGTAGGTAATACAACAGAAAACATAATTCTGACGCAAAACATACTTGGGATCTTACATAGTAGCTGCGGCGTTATCCTTGCATTTTAGGTAAAATAAATAATGTTTGTTTTGTACACTGTAAAAATCTCGTTACTTTTCCTGTAAAATCTCAAACAACAAATTGTTAATGACAAAGTAAATAAAATGCTTTTAAACTTTTTAACTTTCAAAGTACTGTGGATTTAACTTAAGTTCAGCCTCGTCTTTTGGTTTCTCAAATGTCATCTCATGAGGCGGTACGTACTTTGGTTTTGTACCACAACAGGTAACCATGGCTACTATAACCGCTAAAGCGAACGCTGCGCCCGCGCACACAGTCGAGCCCCAGTCCAAAATGGCGCGAACTGTTTTTAGTTCGTGTAATATTTCCTCGTTCATTTGGACTCTTTGTTGTATCCAGAACACTGGGAACAGCATTGTAGGAACTGATTCGTAGAGACTGCAAAGAAGATAAACAAGATTATTATTTATGTAATTTGTACATTTCAAAATATAAATGAATTTTTAGGGGTCTACAAAATTGAAACAATCATGACTCTTGGTAAACAGTATTGAACATAACTTCGAAATACTTTCATAGAATTCTCATAGATGGCGCTATGGCTGCGGAAAAGTCGTTGAAAAACCAAATTATAGAAAGATACGTGAGGTCCGCTGGTTCGTTCCGTGGCTTACTTCTGGCACGGTTTGCTAGGAGACTTCGGTTCGATCTTTGTATTAATAATTATAACCAAATAATGGAGTAATTTCACAAAAAATAATTGAATATCTATTCAATATAAATTTAAATATTGATCATGTCAACGCACTTTCTTGCTTAAAACCTCGTTTACAAAACTCAATTGATCAGCTACCATATTTATAATAAGTTTGTATACACTTACGCTATGTTGCGATTTGGCTCAATATAGACGTTGATTTGAAACCGCGCAGCTACTTCTAACGGAATTCCCAATTGCTGAAACAAAGTAACGATTATAATATACGTACCATAGGAAATTCGGGAAGCTCAATTTTTATTTATTTACTTGCAATCTTTACAGATTTTAAATTTTTAGTTTCAATTTCGTAACAAAGTTTGTAACATTATAATTAATTTTTAACGTTACTTAAAACCATTATAATTCTAAATGGGAGTAAATTAAAATAATGATATTTAGAACAAAAAAGAAATGAGGTGTTCGGGCGTGCGTGTGTGTACTTGCTCTGTTTATTAATTGCCTGGGGATCATAAATAAAGAACATTTCGACATCCCATACACATACATATTGTGTGGAATATTGTATATGTTCTGTTGGGATACCAAATAAACAGAGTTATATATAGTTATATACTAACAACCTTCTCAAGACTATATTACTAACATCATAAACAAATTTTTCACCTCACTGGCTCGGAAAAATTTTCTTTCTCATTAGAAATTTGCGCGTGAAAGTGTTTTTTCGGAAAAGGTTTTCGATATTACTAACTTTTTCTTTTCCACCTAACTTTTTCTTTCGATGAAAAAAAACATAATGACACGCGCAACTACGTGATTTGTCGTACATTATTTATGTACTATAAATCCGTTGATATATTTTATTCTTATTATAATTGACTATAATTGGCAACGATAACTAATTTTGTTCATTAAAACTGATTTGTTATGGTTCAACTGTTTTTCTTTCATCTAGCATTTTCCTCGCTATAATATTTTCTATTCGTAATCTTAGTATCCTTCGCTTGCTTGTTTCAATACAAGCACCCGCGTCAAACAACAAATTGATAGCCTTGCATAACAAACAACTAGTCTGTCTTTTTTGAAGACGAAGTAAAATGACATTTGTTAGGGTTGCCAGTATTCATACAATTTTATATAGTAGTTGTTGTCGATAGTTTTAACAATAGTTTGTGAAAGATGATAAAATTTTGCCACAAATGACTTAATTGTGAATGTTACGACGTTCTAATGATTACTACTTGCGTTATTGCCTTCTTTATTCTTATTTTTACAGTTGGCCTACTAGTGTCGAGATTAATTTTTATTCATATACATTTTACAAGAATAGCCGGATTTGACTATCTATTGAATTAAAAATAAAAACTTTAAAATAAGTCTCCTTTTAAACTTTTTCATAAACATAGATCTAAATATATGTATGTATGAATTTACAAAAATTGACAATTCAAATGAAACAAGCTCGGCTATTTACTCCATAATATATAAGTATAGTCGATAGAATATTTATCGACTCCAATCACGAGCTGCTCGCAAGCGGGCACCACTTTTACGCTATGAACTGTCATTTTATTCCATAGTCAAAATAGACAGAACCAAAAATGACTACTTACTGGCTCAACGCCAAAGAAAAACTCATGCTTCTCTGCGTCAGGCTCCATGCCTGTGACCATGTCCAGCAACCGAGGATCTCCATGCAGGAAATGCGGCAAGGTGACAAAAGCCGGCGAATTGAAACGACACGCAGAGACGTTCATGACGCCACTCCAAGGACACTGCCCGTCGCAGAAGCATGACTCCGAGGGCGAAGCTGGTGCTAAATTGACAAATTAGAGAAGTAAATAAAATGTATGAATGCTTTATTGTTTCAGAGTAAAGCGTGGGCCTACGTGGATCTATTTTTAACCGTCTTCAAAAAAGGAGGAGGTTGTCATTTCGACTGTATACTTTTTTTTATATGTTACGCGACTGCTCCGGCATTAGTGAACCGATTTTGATGATTATTTTTTTGTCGAAAAGAGGGTATCTCAGTATTAGTCTCATTTAAATTTGAAGAAAATATTCCACCTCTAAGGGTGGCAAACTAGAGGATGAATCGAGTTTCGTTTAATTCCACGAACTTTCGCGAGTTATCGCGTATTATACATACAATAATAATCTCAGTACATTGTACTAAAAAAACCGACCTCAAAAGTACGTGGAATTACATCTATTTGCCAAGTTTTATTGAAATCGGTTACCGGAAAGTGCGTAAACCCGGATTTATCCCCTAGTTTGCCACTATACGGGACTTGACACTAAAGGAGACACTTGGAGATAATAAAAATCGGTTCTCACTACTCAAAGTATATTGAGAAGGAAAAACGCCTTGAATTGGAGAATAGTAAAATCAAATCATTAAAATAATTACTCTTTATAAAAAAATTTTGGCGCTATTTATAAAAACGAATCTTCATGCGTGAACAGTTACACTTCGAGGTGGATGATTTTCTTCAAAATATAAATGGGATCACTATGGAGGTACCCTCTTTCCAACAAAAAAAGAATCATGAAAATCGGTTCACAACTACAGGAGTTATCGCGTAACATACATACAAAAAAAACGTACAGTCGAATTGAGAACCTCCTCTTTTTTTGAAGTCGGTTAAAAAATAAATGCAAAACCATTTGAACAATATTTTAGGAATATCAAATTAAAATTGATTTACAATTATGAAAATTGGTAAAAAAACACTAATCGAAGGGTTCTCAGTGGTATTCTTTTTGATTTGTTAATTTACAATCACTTGCTGATTACGCATAGATCGCACTTCTTTAAAGACTGCCTGCCTCAGTTTTTTGCAAAAAAAAAGGTGATTTTGACCAAGAGCAATAACCTTAACAATAATGTAAAAGCTGCCACCTGTTGGCCTTTTCGAATATTATTACAATCGCATCGTGGGTTTACTTAGTAACAAGTGCGACATTTCTTTGTATGAGATTTGTACAATAGTCATCACCAAATAAGAGGCTACATTTGACAGCTAAAGAATATAATATGACGAAACATATTTGAAGTAGTTTTCGCACGAATTACAATATTGAGTTACTCCGAAACGTTCTGAAAACAGTTACCTCCTAAAGCTATTTTTTTTAAATAATAGTGTTGTAAACAATTAATCGCCGAATTTCACCGAGTCAGCTCGGAAAACATATTGCTTATTAAATATTAAAACAAAAATGTATAAAAATAGGTGTATTTTAAATAATTATGTATATAACATCTCTGACTACACCTATCGCAAATAAATTTATAATTTATCAAATTTATAAGAGCGTACTCCTAGCCAGATTTGTAATTCCTTTTCTTTTTTGCAAATTTTGAATTGTCAACACCGACACCAATCCAGCGGCACCCGGAATCCGCGCCCGCGCACCGCGCAGTCTTTCGCCATCTTGCAAGTTGACGGTGCGCTTGGTTATTTTTTATGTATTTTTCTTGTGACTCGTTTTTCTTTTGAACTTTTCCTATTTTCTAAATTATGAACATTATTTGAGATTGTTTGTTGTTGCAATCGACAACTTTTAACTAATTGCCAGCCGAATAATTGGAAATTCATGAAATCCTTGGTTTCTTGGTAATTTAATCTTTTTATGTAGTTGTTTTATCGGCGAACGTACTTATTTACACTAAATTCTCTAAACCATTTATAAATATCATAAAATCAAAATTAAAAGAATTGGATACAATTCATCGGAATGTGCGACAATTTTACGAAAATTAGAGGAATTGCTACAGAATTGCAAGAAATTCTGTAAATTAATTGCTTTTAAATGCATTGCACGATTTGGTCTTTTAGGCCTCCTGAACAACAATGAACCGAAAAATAATCTAAACAATTACAAACTCTTACAATTTTGAATCGATTTCTCGTGAAAATCGTATAATGTGATAACCGATATGATTAGTCCACATCCCTATTCGCGTCACGATGACAAGTGTCAAATGTGGCCTTTTAATTGGTGACGACTATAGTACTTATAGTACATCAATCACATTATACATATTACCTGTGTGTGTGATTGATCGCACAAACCCAAAGAAAAAAACCTTCCTTAGAAATATTCTTTCAAGTGGACTTAAACCAGCATTTGAAGCCTCAACGTGGTTATTTATTTCCTACACAACTACTTTCAGGACTTTGGCGTCTAACGAAAAACGTATTTTTTGAGTTTTTTTTTTTGTGAAATAATTCCATTAGTTTTGTTATTATTATGAATACAAAGATCGAACTCACAGAAAAAAAATTTTTTTTTCGTTGACCCGGAAGTAGGTTATTGAAAAATCTCTCACTAGATGTCACTAGCGGCGACAAAAGCCGAAATGTCAGTACAAAAGATCTCTATCAAAAACACATAGAAGAATTTCAATGTCTCGGTAACTGGACCCGTGGCTCAGATGGTTAGAGTAATGCTTTGGTGCAGTATGGATGTGGGTTCAAGTCCCACCGGGTCGATGAAAAAAAACTTTTTCACCTCACTAGCTCGGAAAGGCTTTCTTTCTCATTAGAAATCTGCGCACAAAAGCGTTTCTTTTGAAATTCGAACTTGACGATGGACTGTGGTGCACCTAACTTTTTCTTTCGATGAAAAAAAGATAATGGCACGTTCAATTAAGCGATTTGTCGTACATTACTCATTTATGTAATATAAATCCGTTGATATATTTTATTCTTATTATTGTTGACATTAAATTGACAATGATAATTCGTCGAAGAACTAAAATAATCAGTTAATTACACAAAATTATAAGTACAAGCAAGAATAAAAATTGGTGAGGTGTAAATTCAGAACGCATCCGAAGATTAACTTTTTCTTTTAAAAAACAATACTAATGTTTTATAGTTCAATTGTTTTTCTTTCATCTACCATTTTCCTCGCTATAGTGAGGTGAAAAATTGTGTTTCGTTCGCGGTTCAAACTCAGCTTCCTTCGCCTGCTCAGGTTTCATTACAAACACTGGCGTCAAACAACAACTTTGCAGCCTTGCACAACAAATAACTATTTCTGTGTGTGCGATCTTTGTATTTTTTTATAATCATGAAAAATGCATTCCTTGCGAACGATCAATGTTTTCACGATTGCGGTCGTACCCTTAGAATAATAACGCATAGAAACCTAGCCCGCGCACGCTAAGTGAGGCAAATTGAAGCGCGCCCAATGGGCCTACACGAGCGGGCGGGCCTTCAGTGCTCAAGGTCAACTTGCACCGCGAACAGCTCAAGAATTTTAGCTAAAAATGACGAAATGTGCGGTAAATGAGTGTAAAAATACGTCAGACAAACATAAAATAGATACTAACATCACATTCCACAAGGAAGTAACGCATTTCAACTTGTATTTTTATATAAATATTCACTAAAACCGAAAATTAACATACTACTAAAACTAGCCTACATGAATTCGATTTTTGTCTCACTTGTGACAGTTCGTTTGATATGAAACTTTAGGAGCCTATTGTGTAGCTGCTGGTAGGCAAATAAAACGCTGGT